AGATAGATAGATAGATAGATAGATAGATAGATAGATAGATAGATAGACAGACCCTCATCTGAAACTAATAGATGAGACCTCCTAACAGTTTAATGAGAGTTTAATATTTAAATAATTAATTGAACCATTGGTATATGCACACAAAGATACTCCACAAAAGGAAAAGTTTCTAGTTGGGAAAGAACCTTGTATAGTAATATACCACGGAATATATGTACAAATCTATATAGAATTCTGGAGCTAATAAGGGTATGGGAGAGAACAGGAACCTAATCAGGATTAAATGTGATTGATTGACTGCCAGTCATTGTGCTTCAGTGTGACAAGCTGAACCAAAAGGTAGCTTCATTTCAGTCCAGTATGCTGACCAAATCCTGCAATATGACTTGTTCTGTATTTTACGCTGAAAATTGGGTTAACAGAGAATATCACGGTGACTAATTGCTGTAGTCAACGTGAAGGGATATGATCCAGTTTCTTCACAAGGTTATCTGTCGCTTCAGGTTGTGGCCAAGCAGATAAAGCTGCTATCTGAGCGCCCTTGGCATTTTTTTTTTTTTATGCTTGTGTGTGGGGGGGGTTAGTGATGGCGGCGGCCAGCTGCACTGCATTGATAATCGCTGAACCTCGACCCATTTCCATGGGTTTCCAATTCCGCTTTCACCAACTTCTCCATTTTTTAATCGCCTCCAAGGCAAGAGAGTCGGATTCCGCACGGTTTTTCCCGCCGGCAATTTCGAAGGTTTGCCCGCTTCGCGCTTTTATCTCGTTTCCGTTTTTGTTTTGTTTTTTTTTCAAGGTAGGAAAGTCTGCAATGCAGGAGGGGCGCATCGCATCGGCGCCGCGTCTAGCATTTTAGGAAGAAAACAGACCCTGCCGCCGTGCAGCTTTTTTCTTTCTTTTTTTCTCCCCACCTCCCCGCAAATTGATTTCTTCAACGCTTGAGAAGCCCAAGCAGTTAGGAGCAAGATATGTTTTGCATGCTGCCGTCCGGGCGAAATTGCACATGCTTCCTGCTCAGGCAAAGGTGTTTTACACCCGGCGATAAACGGCCTTAACTCTCTCCTGCCCCTCTCTGGGACTCTTTCCGACGGCACTCGGGAGAACCGAGGACGTGCTGCAGCTCTCAACCTTTTGGTTTTTTTCCCCTTCAGGCCGGTTACATGCCGGCCTGGGAGATTTCGCCCGCCAGCCTTTGCCGAGAGCGAGTCTTCCTAGGCCGGAGAAAGACTCATTCTCGCGTTACGCTTAATAGAGTCGTTCGCTACCACCACCAACTCCCGCCCCCCCCCTCCCCGCCCGTCTTTTGCAGGGTTTTCGGCATTGGTCGCTCCCGCTGACGGTGGGTAGTTTGCAGACGCTCCCTTAGTTCCGGCGAGGTTGTTTTGTTGGGGGTTTTCCGCCCCTACACTCCCGGGCTGGCAAGACGTTTCCCTGCTCGGCCCGGGGCTGCCTCGCGCCGCAGTCGGAAGAGGGAAGGGAACGCCGCGTCCGGCTGGCTTTCCGCTGCGGAGGCAGCTGCCTGAGCTCGGACCCTCAAAGCGCCGCTGCCGCCGCCGCTCCCGCGTTGCTCCATGTCCGGCCTCCCCGCTACTCCGGCGGGGAGGCCAACCCCCGGCCCCCGCTTAGCGAGAGAAAGAGAACGCAAGATGGACGAGGAAGGGGGGGGAAGGGAGGGTGGATAGGTGGGGAGTCCGCCTCGCCGCGGCGACGCCAGGAAAGCTGGTAAGAAGCTTTTGCTCCCCCACCCCCCCGTCCGCCCTGTTTTCCGAAAAGGACCAAGCAGCATCCACGAGCTCCGGCAAGAAGAGAAGGAGGAGCCTTTCCCGCCGCCGCCGGCGGAGCTCGCGCCGTGTGAGGGCCCCGCGGTCTACCCTGGTGTTGCTTGGCGCCTGTGGGGAGGGAGCTGCTGACTCCTCCCTTCTTCCCTCCCTCCCTCCCGGTTCTCGTGCCGCCGCTGCTGCCCCCCCCCCGCCCCCTCCGGTTGTGCGGTCTGCTGGCGTGCTGAGTCGGTCGGTCGCAATGGAAAACCCAGCAGTTTCCTTTTCCTCGCCCGCGTTGACGAGCGAGCGCCTCTCCCGTTGGAAAAGCCCTGGAATAGGTAGGTTTACTCCTTTCGCCCGCCCGCGTGCATGCCTGCATTTGCCTGCCGGGTGGGGAGCGGCGTTGTCTTCTTCCTTCTTTTCTTCCTTCTTTCTTTCTCCGTTTACCTCGCTTTTCTCGGAGAAGCGGGCAGACGACCCGCTTTGTCCCTTTTGGCTTTTTGCGGGACACTTTGGCAAAGTCGTCTCGCCCCTTGGTTTTTGGCGGGACCGCTGGAGGCGAGGCGCTGTGGCGGCTTCTCTCCTCGCTCGCCCGACCCTTTCGTCACCTGCTGCTTTTGGTCTTTCTCCTCCTTTGAGCAAAGAGAGGACCTCGGTGCCTGGGATAATTCATTCTATCGGATGGTGTGGTTGAGGCAAGGCTGAGGCGTTATTTTGTTTCCCTTTGCACAAAAAGTGTTTTCCTTTCCCCCTCCTTCCCTTGGCCATAGATACAGAGCAGGTTGCCACACCTGCTTCCTCCCCCTTCCCCTCATTTTTCTCGATTTTTTTTTTTAAAGGTTGGCGGTGCTTCTTCCCCGCTTTGGAGAGGTGGCTGATTCTCCCTGCTAATAATCACTGTTTGCTGTCGGGTCTCCTTTGCTTGCCTTGTTTAAGACTTAAGAGGATACAGGATCCAAGGTCTTGCAGGTTGCGTCTCAGTTGTTGAATGGATCAGGAGGCGCCTCTGTGCCTATTGCTTGCAGACGGGCGACCTTTAGTGTCATGTTAGTGCTATTTTTCCTCCAGTCTGTATTGTTGCAGACAGCTGTTATTTATTCTTTCTGAAAGGAAAGGAGCTTTTCTCACCCCCTCCCTATCCTATTAGCAGTGACCCCCCCCACCCCCATTTTTAGAGGATAAAAGCACTCTTTTAAGGGGCTAGAAATGCTGAGGAATAGAAATGCTTGGGAGTAAAGAGAAGCAACAACAACAAAACCACTTGTTGGCCTTCCTTTTATATATACCCCATTTTTCTTTGGCCTTGTTCTGTGCTCCTTCACCAAGGTAGTTCAGGTCATACAGTATTTTCCCTCCTCGGAAATAATGGTAGGATATTGAGTTTGGGGGCTAAAGTATTAGCATTGAAAATGTGACCAAAAATTTTATAACTGGTGTTCGTGCTTTGAGGACCTCTGTTGACTGATCAGTGTAGCCTCGTGGCTTATATTTTTTGTGGGGAGTAGCATATTAAGAAAATGCAGCAATACAGCAATGTTGACATGTCAATGTTGCATTTACATTTCATGATCTTTCAATCTTTATTATGGTCAGTACAGACCAGCAAATAAATGCATTAAAGGATAATAAAAAATAAAAATAAAAGACATAATATATTGGAGTTGGTTGTGGATTAACAGTGGTCAATTAAAGTTTGACTAATTTTACATACAGCACAGCAGAATTTCACCATATTCAAAGAAACTACTTCATACTGATCTGATAATAACAGTAGTTGCATATAAAAAAGATCAGTGTTTCCTGGATATTTTATCAGGTAAAGTGTTATAAATTAAATCCATGAGTCCATATACAAGATGCAGTATAGCAGGACGTGAACTATAGTTTCATGTTATTATTTAGCTTGTCAGGCATGATAATAATGTGGCTGGTATCATACCAAAGAGTTTTCATGATATAGTTAATATTTATGCTAAAAATACAGAGAATTGAATCTGAAATCTTTTGATTAAAATTCCCAGCCTGGTCTAGAAAGCTGCAATTTTTTGCATTATTAATACAAATAATACATTTGTACTGAATTGAAAAAAGAAGATCTAATCTGCAGAGAAATCAGATCTCATTTAGCAAAAATGGCAGTAAAACAAAGTAGGAAGGGCAAATGTACTTACAATAATCACCTATAATGATGCTATTATCGTGTGCAAAGATTGCCAAAGAAGGTTTATTGTGGTTGTGTAAGAAATGATCTACAGCAGGTGCCTGCGCTCTGAGTGAAGAGGAATTTGTCTATATAAACTATATATGTATATGTATATGTATATGTATATGTA